TGTTTAATAAATGTAGCCGAATTTTAGAATCTTAGAAAATGGAAGGTCATTTAACCCCAACTCCTGCCACCCTGCCTAGGTTTTTTTTTTTTTTTGGGTAGAAATGAGGTCTTGCTTTGTTGCCCAGGCTGATCTTGAACTCCTGGCTTCAAGTTATCCCCCCGCCTCAGCCTCCTTCCCAAAGTGCTGGAACACGCCCAGCCCTGCCAAGGAATTCTTTCATGGTTGTCAAATGATCCTTTATTGAAATATTTTCCTTTGTGCTTCTTAACTAACTGGGCATTCCACAGCACCACTGTTGATGTCATCTATGATGTCATGAGGGTGGCAGCCATCAACATTACAGCCCACAGACTGGGCAGTCCCCAGGATTTCTTTAATGGTTCCAGTGAGTTCTCTGGCTAAAGGTCGGTGCCGCATCTGTCGAGGAATGTTGATGATCTCATCAAAAGTGACATTCCCACTGTGTTGAATGTTTTCCTGTTTCTTTCTGTCTCTTGGTGGTTCCTTGAGGGCTTTGATGATCAGGGTGGAGGCAGAAGGCACCACCTCAGTCTGGGCCTGTCTGTTCTGAATGGTCAGTTTCACCGTAATCCTCAGGCCATTCCAGTCACCCGTTGCCTTGGCAATGTCATCACCAGCCTTTTTTGGAGACAGGCCCAGGGGGCCGATCTTGGGGGCCAGTGCAGACGTGGCACCAACTTCACCCACAGTGCACCTCAGGTGTACGACTTTGATCTCGTTGGGGTCACACTTCGGCTGCATGGTGGAGGCGGCTGTTGTCGGATGAACCCAGATTCTGGATCGGCCAAAGGAATTTGCACCTTGGCCTCCTCTGAGCTGAGAGCCGAAAAGCCCACTAGACCCCTCTTAAAAAATTCAAAGGTTGGCTGGGTGGGGTGGCTTATGCCTGTTATCCCAGCACTTTGGGAGGCAGAGGCAGGCGGATCACAAGGTCCGGAGTTCGAGACCAGCCTGGCCAATATGGTGAAACCCCGTGTCTACTAAGTATACAAAAAAAATTAGCAGGGCGTGGTGGCACATGCCTGTACCCAGCTACTCAAGAGATTGAGGCAGGAGAATTGCTTGAACCCGGGAGGCAGAGGTTGCAGTGAGCCAAGATCACGCCACTGCACTCCAGCCTGGGCGACAGAGTGAGACTCTGTCTCAAAAGAAAAAAAAAAAAAATTCAAAGGTTGGCCCATGGCACACAGTGTATGAACCTTACTTTTCTCACCTAGTATGTCTTGTAGATCATTCTATATCAGTATGTAAAGAACATCCTAGATACATATTTCAGATGAATATTATTCTACTCTAAAGATAGACCTCAATTTATATAGCCAGGACCCTACTGATGGACTTTTAGGTTGTTTAATAAATGTAGCCGAATTTTAGAATCTTAGAAAATGGAAGGTCATTTAACCCCAACTCCTGCCACCCTGCCTAGGTTTTTTTTTTTTTTTGGGTAGAAATGAGGTCTTGCTTTGTTGCCCAGGCTGATCTTGAACTCCTGGCTTCAAGCTATCCCCCCGCCTCAGCCTCCTTCCCAAAGTGCTGGAACACGCCCAGCCCTGCCAAGGAATTCTTTCATGGTATCTGACTGCATGCCTGAGACCCAGCTGCAATGTCACCTCTTCTGGGAAGCTCCACCTTCCTCTCCCTCTCATCGCCTTTGCACATACCTTAGCCAGAGCCCTAATCACATGATACGATTTAGGCAAAAGCGTGATAACTTTGCTTTTGTATCTTCTCAGCTCTGACCCTATTGCAGAGCACAGCAGGTACAGAACCAATGTGAATTGACAGTCCTTGAGAGGGGACGCCTCCAAATTCTGCTGCCTGGACACTTCCAGTAACAGGGATCTCACTTCCTGAAAAGCTCATTCTGCCTGTGAAAGGCGGTATCAGACAGTCCTTTGATGGAGCAAAGTCTGTTTCCCATTGGCTTTTCCCTCTGGGTTCTAGTGCATCTTCTAAACACAAATGTAATCCGTCTTCCAGATATTTAAGATAACCTCATTTCTCTAAGCCAGATACCCATCCCCCTAACCTCCCCTCCCCCATTTCCTTTGGACTCTGGTTGCAGATCCTAGGCCTTCTAGCATTTTCCTGCAGACACTTTTTGATTTGTAATATGATTCATTTAAAAGTGATCTCTGTCCGAGCATGGTGGCTCATGCGTGTAATCCCAGCACTTTGGGAAGCTGAGGTGGGCAGATCACTTGAAGTCAGGAGTTTGAGACCAGCCTGGCCAACATGGTGAAACCCTGTCTACTAAAAATACAAAAATTAGCCAGATGTGGTGGTACATGCTGTCATTTCAGCTACTTGGGAGGCTGAGGCATGAGAATCACTTTAACCCAAGAGACGGAGGTTGCACTGAGCGGAGATCATTCCACTGCACTCTAGCCTGGGTGATGGAGTAAGACTCTGTCTCAAAAAAAAAATAGCTGAAATTAAAAAAAAAACCTGACCATACCAAGTGTTCACCAGGATGTGGAGCATTAAAACTCTCCAGCACTGCTGGTGGGAGTAAGAAATGGAACAGGCACTTTGGAAAACAGTTGGCAGTTTCCTAAAAAGTAGTTAAAGATACAGCTTTCATGTGACCTAGCCATTCCACTCCAAAATGTTTACTCAAGATAAATGAAAGCATATGTCCATTCTAAGGCATATGCTCCTAGCAGCTTTATTTGAAATAGCCAATGTCCATCGGCAGTGAATATATCCATGCCATACAATTTGACTGAGCAAAACAAAACCTGCTTGAACAGGTATTGATACAATGATAGTGAACAACATTGATGAATCTCAAAATAATTATGCTGAGTAAAGAAGCCAGATGAAAATTAACGAGTCCATACTCTATGATTTCATTTATATGAAATTATAAAAAATGTAAACTAGGCCTCACGTCTGTAATCCCAGCACCTTGGGAGGTCGATGTGGGAGGACTGCTTGAGCCCAGGAGTTCAACACCAGCAGCCTGGGCAACATAGTGAGACCTTGTCTCTCTCTCTCGCTCTTGGTTTTTTTTTTTTTTTTTTTTTTTTTGTGGAGAATGGGGTCTCTTTTAAGCAAATGATTTATATATTAACATTGGCTTTAAAACCTTTTCTCTACTTCTCCAGTTTTCTAATCAACTTTTGAAATTTTCACTTGCAAAAATCTTTTTCTTGTAAAGACAACCTCCCTTTCCCTTTTTTTTTTTTTTTTTTTTTTAAAGG